GAGTTTTCAATCCCTTGCATGAAGTCATCCTCATTTTCTGCACTATTTAGCATAGGTGCAACAATGTACAACCTGATTTTATTGGTTACCCTATGGGCTTCATCATCATAAAACAGTCTAAAAACATCTAAGTCACACTTGACTTCTCTAAAGTTTTGCCACTTATAAGGTACTTTATAAAAAAAACCTTCTTTAATCACCCCATATCCCAACTTGCTAGCAAAAGCTTGAATCACAATAAGTGACATCTTGTCAGGGTTTACATTGTCAAATTCAAATATACTTCCTCCTAGGTATGTCATAGTATGTGATTTCTCAAAAACACCCCCATAGTGAAGTTCAATGCTGTAAAGGCCATTCATCTACAATAATAATTTACAATAACCAATAAACAAATATATAACTAAACAAATATATATTTAGTTATAAAACAAGAATAGCGATCACAAAGAATTATTTGACACTTCAATCACTAATAATCACCAAATTTAATACACAACAAAACTGTACAAAACATATAAATGGCAAACCAGTAAATATAGGGACCACCATTGAGAGAAAACTGACTACAAGTAGTAGCTTTGAATATAGAATAAGGACCACTACAAAATATAATACTTTGATTAATATAAGGGACCAAAATTAAAATATAACAACAAAAAGATAATATATAGGGTCCCAATCATATTTAATGTTTGATGCAATCAATACAAAAAATAAAAAATAAAAAATAAAATAAAACAAAACAAAACATACAGCGACTTTTCTACCTTTAAACTTTCAACAGTAAAGAACAAAGCATATAAAGCCACAATATAAAAGGGGTTGGTCGGCCATTTTGAAACACATAACAGAGACCTTTATAAATCATGTATAAAAGTGAAATCGATAAATTGCATTTCATAGATTTAGGTGTTTGGACAATACTGAACTTCCCAACTCATTTATAGAAGTAAAAACAAAACAAATTCGGGTAAAAAAAAATCAACAAACATAGGTTTTCATTTCTTTCTAAAATAATTTGTCATATCATTCCACAGATGTATAAAACACATTGATAATTATTTAGGGTTGAGAGAATTACTGATGGAATACCACTTCAAACTTCGTATCCAGATCAACTGAGCAAGAAATGTTAAGTTACCCATATTATCAGAGCTTAGTGTGAAGAAAATGGCGTGAATGCAGTGGTTGAGAGAATGACTGGCTTTGGTGGGTTATGGTAGATCGAGGTAGGTCAGTACGAAGGGATAAGGCTGGATAAGGCTTAGTGTTGTCGCTTGGTTATTCGTCGTTGAGATTGCAATCTGTCACATCACTCAGCTAACTCAGCATATGACCAATACTACACCGTTTTATTAACGGCTATATTGGTCATTTTCTATTTCCGATTAGGTCACATGCCGGAATGGATTAAATTGCAATAAAATGATAGTTCAAGGGGGTTTTTTGTAGTTTATGGGGGTTAGTTGTAATATGGCAATAGTTCAGGGGAGTTTTTTACATTTAACCCTTTATTTTATTTGGCAGGAAAATAATTCAAGGGCATTTAAGAACAAATCAGCTATTGCCCAACACATTATTTGTCTCATCAAGAGTTCCATCAAAGCCAAGTTTTCATCTATCAAGTTGAAAAGTGGTTATGAAATCAGGGATATTAAATCAATTGAGGAGCTACAACATTTATTCCTACAGGATTGCTCCATTGCACATGTTCATGGTTCCTTGTGGATTAACCTTGGCCAAGTTCTTATGGTCTGTTTGGTGCTAACCTAATGTTGCCCTTCATAGAATGCTGCAATTTTTTGGAAATACTTTAATACTAGAATGTCGGTATGATTGGATTGCTGGAGTGTTGCTTGTGTTGACCAACATGTATTTATGATATGGGATGTGCTTTGCATGTTGACATTACTGGTTATGCTTAGTTTGATTTTTGAGACCAAATTTGATTAGTCTGTAGTCCACATTTTGTTTCTTGACAATCTGGTTTCACCTATGGCACTCCTATTTTGCCTTGGCCTTGTCCTGCTCTTTTTGGGCTCCTTGTAAATAGTTTTCATATATGAAATAAATTGTAATTTTAAAATTTGTATACATAGAGAATAAATCAATGAACACTGACCATAGTTTTTCACCCAACAATTTGCTCCTAAATACTCATATATATATATATATATAATAAATTCATGGACACTAACTCTAGTTTTTCACCCAACAATTTGCTCCTAAATACTCATATTTATATATATATATATATATAAGCATTTATGTATATATCACTCTCAATCATTATTAATTATGAAAGAAAAAAATACAATAAAAATTTAGTTTAGTATGCACATATAAATTTATAAACAATTAATTTAGTATTACATAATCATATAAGCAATTTATAAAAGAAGGAAAGGAAACTCATGGTGAAATCTGTGGGGAATGTGAAAAAGAGTGACATATATATATGCATATATAGTTATACTATATAATATACATAAATGCATGTGACTATATAATTAATATGGTGGGTTTAAATTAAGGTACTGAGGGTACTGTTGGTATTTTGCGTATCTCTGATTTTTTATTTTTATTAATAAATAATTAGTGGGGGTAAATTAATAATTGTACCCCTGACAACCGGAAAGTGATCTACTGTTAGTTTCAGGAGATGGAGGACTGGCAAGGTCTAAAAAAAATACTTCAGGGATATTTTGTAACTTTTTAATTATTTGGGAGGTTTTTAGAACTTTGCCTATTCTCCTTTTCCTTTTATTAATGAGTTGTGTGAATTCATATGCAATCGTCGTGCCCTTATTTATTTTAGGAAAAAGTACAATAAACTCCCTTTAAACTGTTGAAGTTTTGCAATTTAACTCCTAAACTAACAAAGAGGGTGCAGAAAAAGTCAAAAGACAACATTACCCTCAATTAAAACGACACAGTTTGAAACATTAGTCACTTAAGTTGCTTAGTTGTAAAGTGAAATCCAAGGGCCAATAAAAATTCGTCAACACACCTTCAAGAGATAAGGTTGACTAAATGATTTGGCCCCTTGTAATCTGAAAAAACGCTTAAAGTTTGACACGTCATCAACCTTTGCAGAGTTCTGCAAGTCCTTCTCGCAACCACAGCGATCTCTCTTGCTGTAAAAACATAGCGATCTCTCTTGCTGCAAAGATGGAAACCTTACCCGAGAAACCATAGCGATCTCTCTTGCTGCAAAGATGAAAACCTTTTACCCTAATTAGTTGAGTTTACAAAAGGGGCAATTTAACCTGTTAAGAGGGTTCAAACAGCTTCAGTTTGAAGCTCACCGGCTTCAATGGACGTTGTTGCTCGGAGCTCGCCGGAACGGATGGTTTGAATCTTTCGAGTCGTCAGTTTGATCGATGCGGTTTGGTTGTGAATATTTCGCCTGACGAATCGTTATACTTAACCTCTTTCCGGTTGGTCGTTGTTCTTATTTTGTTGGTTTGATCCCCAAAGCTTACTGTTTTTGGTCTTTGAAGTTTACTGTTCAGACCAAGATTTTGGAATTCTCTAATTTTTAGTTACTATTTGGCTTACTGGACTTCGTTTTTGGCACAATTTGTATATGAAGCTCGTTGGTTTGAATTGAAAAATCTTGATTATTTGTCAGAAGATGCAACAACCTAGATCCGAACAGCCCCAATGAAGCTCCATTTTTTTTTTTTTTGCAACACTTCCAAAACACCCAATCACACACACACCCAAACACCGGCCACCTAATTTCCCCAAAATCCCTAAACCACTCTCTCTCTATATATATCAACCCCACTGTCTCTCAATGTAAAATTCAGAATATACACACACCATCTCCCTATCAAAAATTCAGAATATAATAGTATAATATATATATATATATATAGATATATAATATATTTGTGTCTGTCGCCTCTCTCTGTATATGTGGTTATATATATATCTGTAGCCTCTCTCCCTCTGTATATGGGTGGTTGCCAGTGGAAGCAAAATCATAATAGTCCCCACAAAAATTTATAGATCAACATATAGAAAGGAATCGCAAAAAGAAAAAGAAGAAGAAGAAGAAAAAAAAAAAAATATATATATATATATATATAGATGATTGTGAGTGAGTATGGCAGATTTATAATTTATTTAACCTTTTTTTCTTTGCCCGTCTATTACTCTTTAATGGATAAAAGATAAACTTCCACTCTGGAGATGGGTGTGAGGGAAGAAGACGAAGAACGGCAGACTAATATTACATGTGTATTGGGTGCTAAAAAAACATGGGAAAAGATTTATATATATAACCAAGAGGCACGATCACAAAAGGGCTATGTTGTCTTTTCAATTTCCAAAGGATATTATTGTCCATAAATTTCAGTTTCTAAGTCACATGCTTCAATAAAGGTCAATTTTGGCCGGAAGTTAGCTAAACATAAAACTGTAAAAATATTTTTAAAAACTGTTGAGCAAGATTACTGTGTGTAATATAAACTACTTGTAATTAATGCTAATATTTATGGCTTGTTTTGTAATGGTAATTTTCACTTTTTTTAGTTCCTGTATCTTTGGCTTTGGAAAAGTTTCCTTTTTCTTTTCATTCCTTTGTAATATTTGAGATAGATTAAGCCACAAGAACAGGAAAGAAGAATACATTTATGAAACATTTAATCTCACCAATAATGTCATTTTTGATTATGTAATTATAGTGAGACTTAAAATAAAAAATGGATGAGTTTACTTTCAAAAAATATTTAAAAAAAAAATGGATGAGTTTACTTTCAAAAAATATTTTTAAAAAAAAATGGATGAGTTTTATACATGATGGTATTTTATTATAATTTATAACAGCAATTCTTAAAATAATAATAATAATAATAAATAAACTTATTTGAAAATAGATCTCAAAAGTAATAGTATTTGTGACTTATTTGGAACTTAATTATTTGTAATTTTTCTGAGAATATTCCAACAACCTCTACTAAATCTTTCATTTCCAACCTTCACCTTGGTCACTTAATCATAGATTCTATGTAGTTAATCAGATAATCCAAATTACAATACGATGACCCACCTTTACTCACAGCTCGTTTTGCTAACTTTGCCATCTGATTTGCTCGTTCTTGAAACTCATCTTTTTTGACATTCATCAGATCTATGATCTTCTTCTCAATTGTAACTCGATCACACGTATCTTTCATGTCAAAACCAAGCTTCCAAACTTCACTAACGAACCTACTATTAATTGTCTGGTCTGCAAAATAAGGCCAACAAATCATTGGCACACCAGAGACTATGCTTTCCAAAGTAGAGTTCCACCCACTGTGAGTCAAAAACCCACCAACAGCTGGGTGGGCCAGAACCTCCTCTTGTGGGGCCCAATCCACCATGTACCCTCTCTCCCTCGTGCCCTCAACCAGCTCCACCGGAATCTGAGACTCCATATCTTTGTCAACAATGGAGTCCGGCCGCATGACCCACAAAAACCTTTGCCCAGAATTCACCAGACCATACCAAAACTCCATGAGTTGGTCTCTTGTCACAATTGTGATACTTCCAAAGCTCACGTAGATCACAGATTTGGACGGCTGCGAATCAAGCCACGTGACACAACTTTGATCTTCCTCCCAAAAACTACTAGAATAGGTTGAGGAAAACATGGGATCTGATGCGAGTCTGGCTTTTAGGTGTGCGTGAAGTGGTCCGATGGAGAAGAGATTGGGACAGTGAGCACGTATTTGAGAGAGTACGGGTCCTTCTAGCTCATCAAAAGTGTTCTTTATCAATGCCTGGGCTTGAAGGGTTTTTCTGCTCTCTGCTTTTAAGATTTGCAAATTATTTACGTCGTCCACACGGCAAAAACTCGGAAGGTCACGTCGCCGGAGAAAATCCTCCATACCAGGTACACTTTTTACTGGTAGGTCCATGCCATTTCCTGAACAAATAATAGCACTGACATAATGTGTGGTTATTATTGAGAAAACTAATTAAGGCAAAATAAAATAGAATTCTATATTTGGAATATGATGTTGATATCACCGTAGATGGTTTAAGGGCCCTGATATGACACAGTGATACAATAAATCACAAAAGGAAGGATTCCGATGACAAAAAAATATATATTAAACTAAAAATATTAAGGAATTTATCTTTATATCTACATTTGATGCATAGAGTTTAGAGATAGAAACTCAAAAGTGTTTGGATCAAAGACAACCCCAAAAGTGTTTTATATATACTAACCAACAACGTACCTTTCAAGGGAATTTCATCAGCTTCAATGAGCTCCGGCAAACAAAAAAGAGCCCAAAAATTGCAAGCACTGGCAGTACGAAAATAAATAAGCGGAATTTCCCTCTCGATAGCAATATCACCTGCAAAACTCATCGTCCCGTCTGCTATGATGCACGTCACAGGCCGCCTTGTTTCGGTACCGAAGCAATTGGTGTCTATCATCATTTCTCTTAATAGTGGCCTCGTGACGGACTTCAGAGATGCAAAAAACTCCCTAACTCGCTCACCGGCACGCGGATGGTCCTCAGGAAGGCCATCCGAAATAGTCCTGAAACAAAATCCGGGATAGCGAGCGAAGTGGGAATGGACATGGGTGTGGCGGAGGAGGCGGCTGTGGATATACTCGGAGACCAGCATGGTCACGTGTAGGTTGCCAAGACACAGAAGCTCGGCCAGCTTGAGCATGGAGCTCACGTGGCCTTGGGCCGGAAAAGGGAAGATGAGCACGTGAGGAGGGAGTGCTGGTACTGGTGCGGATTGCTGATCCATTAAAACTTCTCTGCAATCTTCTCACTGTGACTGGCCCTAACACGTTTTCGCACACAGTATGTGGGTTGCAATTCTTAAGTATTACTGATTGCATTTAGGGTAATTAATTAAACTGATGCTTTTAGAAGAGAGGATACCGGTACCGATCGAATAAATTTATGAGTTACTTGAAACAAAATTAATGGGCACTTACTTGACTTTAGAAACTGATTATCTTTAAATTAGAAAGCTGGTACACACATAACCGAAATGATATCCGATTATTTTAATTCCTTTTCACCCATGTAGGTCCATAATTAAGTGAATCAAACTTTATGGAGGTTGACCAATAAATTTTAAAAGGTTTGAGAAAAAAGAACAGGAAAAAGTACAAAAAAAGTCCCTCTGTTTGCAACTAACCCCCATAAAGTACAAAAAACCTCCCTAAACTATAATTTTATAGCAAGAAACCCCTTAAACTATTGATTTATTGCATTCTGGTAGGTGACTTGCTCGGAAACATTAAAAGACAAATTTACCCTTATTTAAAACTACGTCGTTTTGAAAATTATGCTATAAACCAATCAAAATATGCCAACCTTATCTTCAGAAAAAGAAAAAGAAAGAAAGAAAGAAAGAAAACGAACGGGCTAGCATCCATCTCTCCCTCTCTTTATTTCACTGTGTGGGTGTGTATATATACTATATCTCTGTGCGGAGGGAGCACATCGATCTCGCCGGCCATTTATGGCGCCACCTCGTTCATGTCGTCATTGACCGACGACACCGACGGCAAGCAGCCGTCGTCCTCGTCCGCGTTCCAGATCACCAACATGTCCCACGTGTCCCGCAAAGAACAGAAGAAAATGCGGCAGAGATAGACCATAATGGTCGAGTCCTCACCGGACGACCTTTTCACAGCCGACCTCTTCACGGCGGTAGACGACGAGAGCAGATCTAACATCCCAGTGTTGTCGACGACGCAGATGGTGATGGTCTCTCGTAACTCCTCACCAGTAACTCCTCGTGCCACACCTAACGCGTCTTCACTGTCTCACCAGTAACTCCTCGTCGGCGCCGTTTCTGGGTTTGACGACGGCAAAAAACCATAACAGTTGCAGAGTTCGTGATTTGGGGATTTTTTTATATTATTATTTTCGGTTGAATATGATTTGGGGAAATTTAGTAAAGCCATGATCAATTTCATTTTCCCGGCTAGGGTGGATTGGTTGGGCAGAAGGGAGGTTTTGGGTGGAGTGCGGTGATGGTTTTGGTTGAAGGTGGTGGTGGACCAGTAATTATGGGTTTGATGTGTTATTTGGTTTCGGATTTGGAATGGGGTGATGGTGATGGTTATGGGTTTGCAGAGATAGGTGGCGGTGGTGTATAGGCAACCTTGTCAAAACTTTACCCCTTTACTAGAAGGGTGCCACATCAGAATGTTTCATATCATGTACCTTCCAAAACAAAACAAATGTTTCATATCATGCTCCAATGGTTTTTTCTTCTCCGGCGACGGCTTCCTCTGGTTGGTTGTTATTTTTTCTTCTACGGCTACCATGTCCACCATGAACGAACAACACCAATATCTCAAACATTCTTCCATCATTTTCTCAATAAACCTTCTTTTTTATTTCCTTTTTTGTTTTTCCTCAATTCACCTTAAAGCTGGCGTAGGGAAGAAAAAAACAAGGATGATTTGGTACGTGATGAATCTAATTCGTAAATAATATCCCAAAAAAAAATATATTATTTAGTGTGTGATTTGGTACATGATGGGTCACTCTGTTTTATATATATATATATATATATATATATATATATATAACACCTAGTGAAGGATTTGATTCAGGATTCCATTCGGAATTTGATTGACAAAAATGGTCCTCAAAGATTGGTATGAAACGCCAACACTCTCCCATCGCCTTTATTTCACCATCAAGCTGACCATGTTTTGTATCCTATTGTTGATCCCCAAAACCTAATAAATTGGCCTCAAAACTTGCTGTGATTGACCCACTGGAGCATAGTTTCCACGGCGACAAAGGGGCAGATTGAAAGACGTGAGTTCAATCACCTGCCAGAGGTGATGGTGGCGGCGTGAGAAGCAGTGAGGATGGAGACGAAGAGGATATATATATATATATATATATATATATATATATATATATATTATATAGTAAAAGCGTAAAAGCATATGATGGAGAGGATATCGATTTAATATTTAAAATAAGGGGCATTAGTGTCTTTTCAAGGTCACGAGGGCATTAATGTCATTACAATTATAGTGTCTATCATGTGACCATCACGTGATCACTTTAACGTTGAGATGCAATCGGAACAGTGACGGATGGGGCTATCTGCAACAAAAATGCATAGTTTAAGGGTTTCATTGCAATTTTAGTAGTTCAGGGGGTTAATTGCTGATTCTTGAATAGTTCAGGGGGGGTTTTTGAACTTTTCCCAAGAGAATATATAAAGCTGAAACTCTCAGCAATAGTTTATAGTCTATTGTTACAGTATAATTATGCATGTAGTATGTACACATTATATAATATATTTGTTATGCTTTATAATTTTTTTGTACATAGATATATATATTTTTTTTCTCTCTTTTCATATATTATATATGGTTTGAATAGTCATTAATTTTATGTTTAAACCTATTATTATTCATTAATTTAGTAAAATATATAATTAAAAAGATGAATTAAAAATTATAGATAGGTCATTACTTGCATCAAATCAAATGGTCTTAAAAAAATTCAATAAAAATTACAAAAATTCACTAAAAAATCATATTTATTGGATTATGTTGTATAAAATTGCGTATTGATGCATTTTGGATCTTATGTGTGAAATCGAAAAGCATTCATAACCAATTTCGTTATGTAATGTGATGCGAGACCAATTCTATATATTACACCGGAATCCTTACCAGCGAACCTGAAGTGGTAAAATTATACATGTATTAAAATGCAACCGGCAATCTCAGCAATTAGATCAGATCACCTCAAATGAACTCGATCTACCATGATTCAGTTGCATTTCTTTTGTGTGTCACATTTGGCAGGAAAAAATAATGGGCTCTAGGAAGTTAGGAACACACCATCTTGGCAATCATTGGTTCTCAAGCTTATTACCGCATCCATATTTGCCGAAGCTCTCTTGGCATCGAAGAAGGATATGTTAAAAATAAATTAATGCCATGCATGTTCATTATGCATTTTGGGTTTATTCATGTATTGTTATTGTACATGTATCAAGAGGGTACATGTATCAAGTATATACATGTATCAAGTGAGTGCATGTATCATGTGTGTGGTTGAGAATTATCTTGGAAAGATCAAAGGTCTATGGGAGAATAGTATATATAGTGTAAGGGATTTGTTGTTAAGAATATCAACACAACAAAGAATTCAATACAATACAGAAAAATATTTATTTCTTTATTCTTCTCTTCTCTTCACTTATAAATTATTTAGTGAGTTGAAACTACAGCCAACATAAGTGGTATCAGAGCTTGATTTCGATCAAAAGCAAACTGGGCGTGAAGCTTATTGACGGGAAAACAAACCCCGAAGAAGATCCATCGTGATGGCGACTACAGGCAATCAAAACCAAGGTGCCCATCAATCAGCACTTCCCATTTTTTATGGGGAAAATTATGATTTTTGGTATGTGAAGATGAAGACCATTTTTCTCTCATATGATTTATAGAATTATGTTGAAGATGAGTATGATGAGACAGAGGATACAACAACTTTGACGAATGCCCAAAGACAACAATTGAAAGATCATAAGAAGAAATATGCAAAAGCTTTAAGCTTGATTCAACAAAGAGTTGCTGATACAATCTTTCCCAGAATTATCAATGCTTCTAAAGCAAAGGAGGCATGGGATAGCCTCGAGAAGGAGTATAGAGGCAGCACGAAGGTAAGAACTATAAAACTCCAATCTTTGAGAAGAGATTTTGAAAATATGAAGATGAAAGAAATGGAGTTGTTGAAAGATTATTTTTCTAAACTTATAGAGGTGGTAAATCAAATGAAGACTTATGGGGAAGATATTTCTAATCAAAGAATTGTTGAAAAAATTCTAATTAGTTTGCCAGAAAAATATGACCCTATTGTTACTGTTATTGAAGAGACTAAAGAGCTTGAAAACTTGAGTGTTGAAGAATTGATGGGTTCCATAAAGGCATTTGAGCAAAGGTTGAGTAGGCGCTTCAAAAAGACAATTGAAAGTGTTTTTCAATCCAAACTCAATGTTAATTCCAAAAATCAAGAAAAATACGCATCAAGTTTTGATCGATCCAAAGGTGAATTTTCTAGAGGTAGAAGACGCGGAAGAAGAAAAGGAAGAAATAATTTTGAGAGAAGTGGAAATATAGAGTCCACTCAACAAAATTATGGAATTTGCAAGAGAAGTAGCCATGTTGACAAAGATTGTTGGTTTCGGGGAAAACCTCAATGTTTCAATTGCAAGAAATTTGGACATGTTCAAAAAGATTGCCGGTTGAAAACAAATCAGCAAGCTAATTTTTTCAAAGAGCAAGAAGGTGAAGCGAGCATGTTTTATGCTTGTCACACGACATCGGAACAAAAAGATGATGTGTGATTTCTTAATAGTGGGTGTAGTAACCACATGACCGGAGATAAAAATATATTCTTGGAGATTGATTCTTCATCCAATTCTCAAGTGAGGATGGGAAACGGTGCATTGGTCTAAGCAAAGGGAAAAGGTACTATTGCCGTAGAGACAAAAAAAAAAAAGGAAGAAATCATATTTGGGATGTGTTACTTGTTCCGGATTTGGAGCAAAATTTGTTAAGTGTTGGACAGCTTGTAGAGCATGGGTACTCCATTCATTTTGATGAAGAGTCTTGCAAAATTTATGACACGGGAGGACAAAATCATATTGTGGCAAAAATCAAGATGGACAAAAATAGAAGTTTTCCTCTCACTTTTTCATGTTAAAAAAATATGGCCTTGAAGATGGATGTTGTTGATGAGTCATGG